TTGAAAATGGCCTAAGGGGTTGAAACGATGGTGTAGAAAATAAAATAAAGTAGGATCAAACATATGTATTTATTATTATAATATTTAAGCCAACCACTACAGAAGAAATGAAAAAATTATAATTTTTTATCTCAAATATATCAAATTATAGAAAATCGGTAGGATAATCTGGAATATTGTCCTCTAGATATTATGGGGAAAATTCTGTATCGCACACATAGGCTTTGTGCACATACGCTATCCCACACATAGGCAACATTATTTTCATGACGATAATAATGTTCGTTATTTTGTGATAAGACTCCATTTGTATAGGGTCTTCCCTTAAAATAAATAAAGATTAAATTGAATATTATTATAATTATTTATATTTAATTTAGGATGTTTAGAATAGTGAATTACCGGATTTATTTAGATATGAATAAACATTTAAATATAATATTGTTAAACAAAATAATTTATATAATTTTATTTATTTTCATATTTTACACTATACGCCATTTTCCCAATATATTTAAAGATAATATACACATATTATATGTATATATATATATATATATATATATATATATATATATATATATATATATTCTTTTTAGATCAATTAAAAAATATCATCCGACCCAGAAAACTAATTTATGTAATTTCGTTATTCCTAATCTTCTAATTCTTACTAAACCATAAAAGAACGATTAAGACTTTCCAAAAGATAATAAAATTTGGTATAAAAATATAGATTAGACAATGCCTCGATTTGAACATTGGGAGAACCCATTTTTAAAAATATATATAAAAATATAAATCAACACAGTACTAAAAGGTTTTGCCTGTCAGCAGAAACATACGGTACTACCTTCATGCTATTTTTCACCTTAACACTAATGGAACGGGCGGCATACAATAGTTAGTAACAATTTATATTGGAAAACTGAGGAAGGAATATTATATACCAAAACTAGCAAGGAATTATTTGTTATTGTTTTTTTTAAATTATATTTAATGTATTAGATAGTTCGAGTGCGCCAGGAAGAATAAATCACTCCTCACAAAAAAAATTATACTTTCCGGTCTGTCAAAATGTATAATTTTATTTGTAGTTAACGTCAAAAGCTAGTCGAAAATTTTAGATTAGCAGCGTTTAAATAAATAAGTGTAGCCGTTTTCAAATAAGACATGTTTGGACTCTTAAGGGCCTTGGATCCTAAATATATGGCAAAATCTTAAACTGACTAACTTAATCTTAATGTGCTTATAAGAAGATAACTTCTAGAGAAAACAGATAATACTTGCGGCTCTATACGGTAAAATAAATGACTTACAGTTATTAAATGACGTGTCTTATATAACTATACAAATATATTAACGTAGTTAATAAATTAAAGATTCTTTATACTGATCTAATTAACATAAGTGAGGAGGCGGGATTCATTTTAGAATATTTTATCATTATCATTTTAGAATATTCTAGAATATATATATTATTTTAGAATATACTGATACTCATTTTTTTTTTCTCTTCGCACATTCTGAGCATAAAATAAACTCATAATTGTTATAGTTAATAAAGATCAAGTTTAGATTAATTAGTTGCTTGGCCTTCGATACTTCATGGCAGTACCGGCTTTAGGGACGGAAAATCCGGGCAATACTCCGGGGCGCCCAACTGGAGAAGGGCGCCCACCACTTATTATGTATTAAACAAAAAATTACAAAATGTATGATAAATAATACATTCAATTTTATAATACTTAAAACACTTAATAAATATATTACAATTAAATAAATGCGAAACGAATAGAATGCTAACGAGACATAGCCGTGGTGCGATAAGATTGCCGGTTGCATTGTCCCTAAAACTTCTGAACCGACACATATCTGACAATGTGTAGGGGAATAACACAGCATGACAACTGCACAAAATGGATATCAATAGTATAACGGCAAGGTTGTTCTCTGATGATAACTACAGGTTTATTTATACAATCGGCAATAGTTTATTTATTACTATAATTATTTATTGTTTATACATTACTACAATTGACAACAAAAGAAATATTTTCATATTAATTTTCAGTGTTATTGAATAAAATATAAAAGATCATAACATACAGACCAATATCCCAAAAATAAATACCTGAGTCAATATTCCTGGGAAGGATTTGACAAATATCATTAGTAATGGAAGTTATGGTGAAATTGATGAGTTAAATCATCTCATATAAAAAATTACTCATAATAATTCAATGACAAATCTATCTATACGTACAATAATTACAACGATACTCCCATAAAGCTAAGCCGATTCACTTTCCAATCCTAACCAATTCAGACAAATCTACACTATATAGGGGAAGCTAACACAACAACGAATCATCATTAACATCTACGGTAAAACTATAAAAAATAAAATGTAACTAGATAAGATAAATAAATAAATATGCTACATATTCTAAAAGATAAAAAAAAAGTCAATGTCATACTCATATCATGGTATGACCAATTCTATCCACCAAAGGAATAGGAAAAAAAATAATCAGCTGAACCTAGGTTTAAAATGTAAAACCTATTTAGAAAATAAATTTAATTTAAAAACATAAAATAAAATAAGAGAATAAGGAAAACAAAAAATAAATGATGAAATGTTGATAGACGTTTCGGCCCATTTTTATTCGTAAGCATAATTTAAAAAAAAAACAAATCTAACATTAATTCAGGAATAAAACAATATTTTTTTCATATAATAAACAAATAGTTGATTAAAATAGAGACGCGTAGGTAGTAGGCGTGCTGCAGAAATAGACTGGAGTTAATAGAAATCGGTTGATCCTTTCATCTCAGAACAGATCGAAAATAAACAGATCTGTCTAATTCTAAGTGCCTAATTCTATAGCCATTTATACTCGTTCCTAGGGGCGGCTGTTTTCATAATTTATAGGTTTCTTGGAAAAAGTTTTTTTTTTTTCAATAAACCGGTTGAATTTAATTAATCATATAAAATCAGTTGTGTATTTAAGTATTTATTTTGTTAGATTAGGTTATTTTTGTTTAGTTTAGGATCTTTTAGTTTATATACATTTATTTACTTTTAGTATTATTATATTGCTGTTTATTTATTTTGCATAGTTGAATGACCTACTCTTTATCACTATTACTATTGTCCTTAAATGTAACAGTTTGTATATCTATATAAAGAAATGTATTATATATCTCTTAGAAATAGATTATATATCTCAATAAAGAAATTTCCTAATTTTCGGCAAATAAAAATATATTAATCCGTTGTACTTAGGTAGTTGTTTTAGAGCATCAACGTGCATTTATTTCAGTTTACAACCAGTAGATTCGTTAGTGTTCTCATAACATAAAGCTCAAACTGCCGAATAGTACGGAGGGTCACGCAGATCAGCCTCTCAGCCTCTCCTACTACAGGAAAGAGGGTATGGGGATACAGAGGTAATCTAGCGAATCACTATTATGGGGAAAATGTGCGAAGCAGTTAAAAGAGACTTCATAAACCGGAGAGTTGTAGTAAAGAAGACGAAAATGTCAGTATACAAAACTTCTTTTTTTTTTTTATATCATCCTTGCGTACTCATCAGAAACATTGAGTCTGGAAAGAGGAATCAATGAAGAACACAATCATATAATTGAAATCTCCCTACAAAACAAAAATATAATAAAATAAATTTTTAAAAAATAGAGTCTATAACACCAGTATCGCGTTAAACTTCTGCAAAAGAAGCAGAGAGTGGACTATAGTGATGATAAAATTGAATTTAATCAAACACCACTTATAGGATTCCAAGCATGGCTTATCTGAACCGGTGAGAAAGCACGGATAAAAGAACAAACTTTCGGCTCATAACCCTACTTCAAATAAATACTTCATTAAGAATAAGTCTAATATTATTAGCATTCGTGTTTTACTAATATGTTTGTTCAACATCTAAGAATTGGAGCTTTGATTTTCGGTGCAGCAGAATAACAGTATTAACATTTTTAATCGATAGTGGAATAACTATACATATTTGAATTAATAGACGAAACTGTTATTATTATGAATTTCAATCTTCAACTGATATGTGAGATGATTCATAATCATCAACTGATGATAATTAAATTCATTTAATTATTTCAGGTAAGTTGCTATAAACCCAACAGTGCACATGGGAATATACAGACATGGGAATATATTCTGAAGCTAAGGTGAATAATATTCATTCTAAAAATGAAAAAATTTAAAATAAACATATTTTTAACCCTTTATCATAAGAATTAAAAAATATGGAAAATATAAATGGATACTGAAGGATATAACGCATGTTCCCATTGGTAAGTTTAATTAAAAAAAAAAACTTCTGATTACATCAAGACCATTCACGAAAACAATGAGGATTAATGATATTAGACGACGAAATCAACAAATGCTTGTTTTCCAGAAGAGGCAATTTCTTTCGTTGGTGACGTAACCGTAGTAGAGGGAGAAGTGAACATGATGAATTGGGAACGCCGCAACCCGCAATAAATAACCCTTCCCCATCTACGGAGATTTATTCACATCATCTCTACAAAAGAGCGGGGGGGGGAGGGGAGAAGGGAATGGAATAGGAAGGAATAGGGTTTGACTGATGGCTCACAATTAAGGGGCTGAAATTGTACGAGATGATCTTAAGCACGCTTGGATGTCAATAGTAATCGGCCGAATCATTCATAAGTTCAACTCCTTAGCTCCTCGGCAATTTTTATCAATGATTAGAGTATGGCTCATCAAAATAACTCCATTGGAATCCATGGGAATGGAAGAATTAATTCTTATTTTTCATAAATTAGTTTTGCTGCAAAGAAATAAATAAAAAACTTATGGAAAAATCACAGGCATTTAAAATATGTTGCGATCGTTCTTTTCTAGATATGGCTTTTATATTCCATTATTATAAGATACTGCTTACATGCACCATAACCACTAACTTCTTTCGTTATTTATTCTCGAGGATTCAGTTATGTTATTGGATAGAACCGCCATTGGGGCCGATAGAATACATAGCAGACCGCTCACGATGATGATCGAGGTCGAGTACAGACTTCCCACCCTCCGCCTCCAGCCACCGCCACATAAATCCAGAAGCACCATTAGCCCACAATGGAGGAAGCGCAAGTGCTAACGGCAGACCGTAAGTTGTGCATCAGATTAGTGATTCATGAGGTCGGCTCTCTAATGCCCCTTGCTCCTCATTCCGGGAACCGTCTGCTCTTCTTGACCAACCATAGGCGCCACCACTAAGGAGGAGGGAAGGAGGTATCTGCTTCCTCTGTATCGAATATATAATCGTGCTCCATCAAATATATAACAACATTTAATGTATCACTCATGCAGTATAGCAATGACGTAACTGCAAATCATACAATATTATTAGAGAGGCGAAATAATTCACACCAGTAGTATAGATACTTTTTTGGCTCTCAGCAGTAATGGATTTTTATAAATGAATAATAAAACCAAGGGAAAATACACCTAGAAAAAATGAACCCCAATTTGAAAACGTAAAACCTTAAATTACAATAAAAGTCATTAAACAAATTAGAAGATTTCAGAACTTAGATGGTATCAAAAGTCGACACATTGAAACAGCATACATTGTGTTTTGAAAAATTTGACAAGAATCGATATAGTTACTTTGGTGTTTTAAAGCCACAAAATGTATCGTTTTCGAGATAAATCTTACTTCTTTCCGAAAGCCTCGTAGGTACTTTGGTATACTTATCACATTTTTAGATTTTAAAAATGGAAATATTTGCTGTTTAGGTCTTCTTCAATGAACTAAAATCTATTAGAAAGATAGATGGAGAAGAATGGCTCTATGAACCCTTGGGCACCTCGAATAATATAGAAAGAAACTTTTTGATATTTTTAATAAATAAAAATACAGGTACGGTTTCTGTAGTCCTAGTACCCAACTGAGAGAACTATATACCAAGGTTTTTCTGCACCAAACAAATATGCCTTGAAGGGAGTGCAACAATGGATTAGAATAAGTTCAGGAATTATTGCTTAACTATTTAACTAAAGCGATATTTTCCATGGGGACAAGCATTCATTAAGTTAATTGTTACTGTAATAGTCGTGGTAATCTCTCCATGTCTAAAATGCAATCTTTTAAATTCAACAAATCTGGTTAATGTCACATTCATTCACAAGTACGAACAAAGATTTGAGGAGAAAAAAAATCAAACCACTCTAAATGTTTTTATTTAATTATATTTAACGTCATTAATTGTGGTAAAATGTAATATTACTCAATAAAGAATTTAATTATATTTAGATAATGCTATTGACTATTGGAAACAGATGAAGTGATGTCTTAGTCGTGTTCGAGCCATTATTTATAATTTTAAATAATTGTGGTAATTATTATATACGAACACTCACAGTTTTTTAAGTAAATTAAACAACAAAAATATTTTCAATTAAGAATCCTAGAAGAAATAAATACATTCGTACTTCCAATGATTAAGGAACCATATTTTGTACTCACGCACGCGCGTGTGCGCGTATAATTCACCAAAAAAAAAAGGACCAATAGAAGGAGGATAACTGTAACAGAAATACAAGGACAAAGCATGAAGAGACAAAGCAATCCCCCTAAAATATTGCATTGCTAAGTGCAGCCTGGTACAGACAGCTACGATTGGTTCCGCCGGGGCTGTCAATGTAGGTCACTCAACAGTTCAATCCGGCCAAATGGATCGCCGCCATTAATCCGGACCCAGTTGAGCAGAAGGAATCTCTCATCCCTTTTTAATAAGCTTTATTAGAGAATAAAAGTCGCTTTCATAAGTCAGTGTTTTGTTTATAATTACTCCTCGAAATTTATTTTTTTAGCAAAAAAAATATTTTAAAATATAAAAAAAAAGAAAATACCGTAATATTGATGTTCTACAAGAATTTTACCGACATCTTTTCAGAATTCAACTAAGAAAAACGTGTTTGTTAAAAAATAATCAATCACTATAATTTAATAAGTTGGAAATATAAGTATGTTTAAGAGAATTTATTATAAGGAAAGTGATGAATGGAAAGAGATGAAATGGATACGGAGGCATTTATGTTTCCATCCTCCACAATTATTTTAAAACTTTATCAAAATTTGAGGATAAAATTATTTTTAACTTTCCTTATGAGTCCAAACTTATGTAGTAAGGGAGAAATTTAATTTTTTAATAATTGAGTTAAAATAATTAATTTTAATTGGGAAGACAATTTTGGGTACACATTTTTAAAAATTGTATTTCTTAATTTCGTTAGCAATACTTTTTTGAAAAATTCTCTTAGTTTGAAGAAAAGTCACGAATTTTCCTGAAACTCCACGAGTTAATAAATTTTTCAAAGACAGTTAATATAAGAAAAAATTATTATGTTTAATACAAAACACAATAAAAAAAAAAAGACTGGACTCAAAGATGAAGAAATGAAAGAATGGCACGTTCTAATACAAATCCTGAAATTAAAACATGACGAGCGTTGAATGAGCAGCCAACAAATTATGCGATGAGTAAGGACTGGTGATGCTAACCAAATGGCGCTGATCGCTTTACCAGGAAAAACTTTAGTAGGTATGACACAAGAACACATCACTAATATAGTGAGAGGTAGAATTTATAAAGAAGATGCAATATTGAATATGAACAGAACTGTACCATGAACAGTTAAGATAACTAGAAATCGTTGCATAGATTTCTTAAAGGTAACTCTATAAAAATCCGAAACAAGGAAGCGGGATATGTAGATCAACGTAATCCTTGAGGAAACATCTACAATGAACTCGTCAATAATTGCCAAGAGACCACCCCTTGCGAGTCCGAAAATCAGATGGATAGATAAAAACAATTAAGATGCTTCAGAGATTCATGCAAAGCAATGGCTGATGATAGGAATGGTAAAGAGGCGGCAGGATTCAGGGGACTAAAGATTAACAAAGCCAACAGTAAAAATATATATTTTAACGATGTATGTATAATATAGAATACACGTATATCATTAAAGGGCATTTCTGAAAAATTCGCTATCGAGACAAACCGCAAAATTGACTAATAGAACTGTCAATATAACCACCCCTCCTCCCCTCTCTCCCTCCTCAATAGTCGGGAATTGAGCCATGAATCTGGGAGTAGCCGGTCAGTGCTGTACTATACCCCAATTCTGCTCAGAAATTAATCACGGCATCGTGATAAATAATTGTTAATATGTAGTTATAATTGTCATCTGACAACAAATTAATTTTATTATTCTAATCATTTCAGGTATCATTTATAAAATATATCAATTTTATTTTTAGCAGACTTTTTTTCCAAATAAAAAAATATTTTTCATACTGATTCGCCTACATATTCCTATAAAAATAAATCTTAAGAGCTGATTAATTGTTGAATATTTCTAAACGTCTTCAAGGTAACAATATGCAACTTCGGCTGAATCCCGAATTAATAACTATGACAGCAGAAGTGAATGTTAAATAAAAGTTGGCCGTTAAATTATTTTTTATTCATCTTGGTATAAAAATAAGATTTTTTTTTTTAAATTAAACCAAGTTTATGTTTATTTATTAAATTTTAAATAATGGCTAATTTTATGAAGTATCAAAAGTGCTAATTACAAAAAAAATTAAAATGGACTTGGTTGGTTTTGAAAGTCTATGCCTCATTTCGAAATCAATTAAAAAGAGAAAAATCAATCTTACATTTACTCGTTTTTTGCAACAATGCATTAATTTTTTATTCCCACATATGTTACATTTTAGATGCATTTAAAAATGTTGTTTGATTTGATATTTACATACATAATGCCAATACGTGTGTAATAATATATCAGTTGAGAATATTCACAACATGGAATAGTGTCAAGTACATGAATGTTTCTTAACGCTTAAGGGACAATACCAACCTGGGAGAAAAATGTGTTCAGGAAAGGATTATTGAGACCAGAACTGGGTCACCGTTGAAGTTGCATCATGCCAAGGGGTTAGCTAACAATACGTATCTATACCCGGAGGAGCTGAGGCACATCGAAGCGTTAAATGGAGGGAAGAGGTCAGGAAGAAGATGCAGCATGAATTAAGGGGTTCGTAAAGAACAAAATAACATAAAATAATAAAAGGTTTTGTTGAGTACGATTAATCATTATATGCAAGTGTCAACAAAACAACGTTGATGTAAAACACATATATGGTAATAAATTTCAAAGCTAATAATGCTACGTGGTATTAATTAAAATCCGTTAAATCCGAGTAGACCACCTGTCATCGAAAATAAATCAATTTTTCAACACTTGCGGAAAATTCTTCGAGAAAGCGCTATTAAGTATGGACTAACCCGACTCGATAGTCCAGCATTGCTCCGTTTACATCTAAAGTTTTATTGTTATTTTTTACTTCACAATAGTAATTACGTTTCAATCGGAAATTTCATTTATCGTATTTAATTTTTTTTTCATCAATCGGAAATAAAAATAGAGCTCATGCCTGTTTCAAGAAAAGAGGGTTTGTAATTTAAAATACATTATTTTAAAAACAGACAATTTCGTTCAGAAATCCTAACACAAATATTTTGGTAGACCTTAAACTCTAAACCACCAATAGACACAGTACGGCACTAATAAGATAAAATGTTAAACACACTATTTCCTTAATTCTTTCAAATCGAACATCCCTAACATTAAACTAAATAACATCAAAAAGTACACATCGTCGGCACCATGTTAAAGTAACGAATATTAACCTGAACAAACTTTTCAAATTCGTTCCTTTAACATGGTGCCGACGATATAAAAAAATCAACATGACTCATGGTTGCCCTAGACATTAATAACACAAGCTAGTATTTAACAAGCATCATGCAGCATGCAACACAACAAATAATTCGTCATTGAAACATAAATCTATATTTTTTCGTGCTTTGGATACTAATAACTTGGCAACAATTGAATAATTGACGAAATCGTGCTTCATCATTTTCTACTTATGTAATTCTAACTGCTTTAAAAATAAATAGATCGATACATTCCCAGTCCCAGATTCCAGATACAGTCCCAGATTCTTGATCCATGAGTCAACATTGCGCTTTCACTAAAAATTATTGAAAAAGGAGAGTGCAAACGAAAAGAAAAAATATTATATATGAAAAAACCTGAAAGCACAGCCGTACTATTACTTCTCAAAAATAAATTAATAAAAAAATAAGTAAAATAAATAAATTTAAACTAAAATACCATAGTGCGAACCCTCACTTTAGATATGTATCCTTTTCCTTAATTCATTCAAGTAAGCAACACCAAGGAAACATTTTTATTTGTATACATTGGGTTCTTCGGAAAATAATGCAGGATTTTGGCTAAATCAGACAAAAGAAAGATTTACAACTGTTAAAATCAACAAATTTCTGACGTTTAGGTAACTTTTCTATTCCCTTAGAATAGAATTTCCCCTCTTTAGAATTGACAAAATCCAAAAACGCATTTTCTAACTCCCTTGGTCAATTTTTTTTTGTCACGTAAGTAGTGGTCTAGGTGTCTAAAAAAATGATAATCCGTAGGCGAGAGCCAACTTTCAAGCTCGTATAACCTTTCCAATCGCCTTGAGGTGGTCATCGACGGTCGATTTGCTAAGGTTAAGTTTCCCAGCAAGTTCTTGAACAGTTGTTCTGGGGTTTTCTTCCACAAAAGCCCGCAAAACACAGACATCAAGAGAGGAAGTCCTTCGACCTTCATTGTGTTCAAGGCTGAAGTCACCCTAACGAAATTTTTTGAACCACCCTTGAACAGTGAACTCATTTAAACTGATCACCCCAGACTTAATTAGAGTTTAAACTCGTAAAATAAAATTATACGAAAATTACGCGTTGACATCTTAGTAAAGAGTGAATTATTTCTAAGCAGGGAAATGCTACAGAGGTAAACAAACATTATCGTTTGGAAGGTGATTAATAAGTGTTGACATTCATACAAATGAAAAATCCAGTACACGTAAACACAGTTTCTTATATAGAGGGGTATTTTAAAGAACACTCAAAATCCAGTATTATTTTTCGGATAACCAAATATAATATATTATCAAGTTTATTAGCTAAGCAATAAGAGACAGCGATACTTGAACTTATATTAATCCATTATTGCACTCGCTCAAGAGCTATTTATTTGGTGTTGAAGAGCCTTGATTTGTATTTAGTTCTCTCACTTACTAAGGGCATATAAATCTTAATGATAGTAAAAAAGACAAATGGTAAATGTACCAGTAATAGAGAGTATTTATTATAGTTGATATGCTTTATCAACTCCCAAAAGAGAGAACAAATACGAGTAAATTTGAAGCTACAACACTTAAGAAGCCTATGCCTTGACCTCAAGTGGTATCATGTCACCATAGCCGATTGGTTAATTTTTTAATTGAACAAAGGTTGGATCTTGGTTTCAGGGATGTTTAGTTATCACTTTTGTTTAGAATGTAGTTTTGAAATTTTGATACATTCATCTGTAGTTTGTCATTTTCTTGTTTAAAACTACGGAGAATTATTTTTTTTCTAATTAAATAAAAACCCTGTTGTCCCCAAAACTTGGGTTATTACTGGTGCAAAATAAGCGGCCATAACGTCTTAAATATTTCACGAATAATAAACTAGTCGACTATACAGAAAATCGAAATTGGTAAAAGACGAAATTTGATGTCAATTAAATCCATTTGCAAAGATTATCCGTCAAAACTAAGGTTGTGGTTCATATTAATGTTAAAAATGTTGAAGTGTCTAATATCGATACATTACTTTACTTGGGATATATTTTTATTTATTCTTTTTATTTTTTAGCTTATTTATTGAAAAATATTACATTCTGTCTCAAGGACATTTATAATAGTGTTCACAGATCACATTCACACTCTATGTACAATAAATAAAATAAATTATACAGAAAGATAATATATATACAATAAATAAGAATAAAATAACCTAAAAATAAATGAATAAAATGAACACATACATACCTATATACAATATTTTTATTTATTAAAAATATCGAAAAGTTTCTATCTATATTTTCTAATGGTCTCAGGAACATTCTATTTTAACCGACAGTACAGATTTTCGTTCATCGATCAATACCATAAATGACAATATTTTTATTTCTCCTTGGCCTTGATGTTTTTTTCTTCTTTGTACTGAGCGACGGAATTAGCATTAACCTTTTTAGAAAATTTCCCAAAAGGTTCATCTTACAAGAGACATCATGAAAAGATGCTGGATAATAAACGGGCTGAATAAATGAAAAATAACAAGACACAAACAAGAAAAGGAAATAAGACTGCAGCGACTGTGGTGAGGATAGAGAAAGAAAAAAAAGACAGAGAAGATTTAAGGGAGGCGTTGAACCCTCATCCCCTAATATCCCGAGGGAATGGCGGCTGCCTCGTGAATTAATTTGATGGTGGACCCCCTCCGTGAGAGTTTTCCTAACCAAGGAAATTTTAACTGAGAAACCTCTTCAGGCAAGATGGCGAATTCTTGAGAAACTCATAGTAGCTACAATTTTATTATCCCTTGAAAATTGAAACTTAATTACAAAAAAAAAAAAAAAAAAAAAACCAAGGTTCCCTTTTAGTTTGCCTTTAATGTACTTAAAAACAAATATAAATTCTAGTTTATCAGAACATTATTAAATGAATGATCGTAGCTAAAATCAAAACTTGAATTCACTGGGTGACGCAACTCCTAAGTATTACATGCAAAATACAACAAGTAAATGTGACATTGGTAACATGACATGTACAACATGAAAAGAAACTACCCATTGGTAGAATCAAAATTAAAGATCTATATTAGAAGGTCCTCTTCTTTTCAGACGCCTCGGAGGGTTATCAGGAATCGAGGAGAAAGCAAGGTTTGAAACGAGAGGGTTCGGATGATTCTGCAGTTTGTTATGGAAGGATAGGTATATGGATTGGGCCAAATCGGAAACATATGGAACATTAAGGTTTTTATGGATGATTTTATTTGTGACAAAGTAAGGAGCGTTGAGGATTTTACGAAAGATTTTGGATTGTAAGGATTGGATACGAGAGGAATTCGATGGTTTAGTGGAGCCCCAAAGCTCAATTCCGTAAGTCCAAATAGGTCTTATTATTGTCATATATATGAGTCATTAGTAATTGATTGAAAGCCTAGAGCGTTTGTAGTAAAGTAAGTGCTGCAGTAGTCGAAAACGTCGGGCGGTTTCTAGTCGTTTAAGTCTGGTATGCGGGTTAGTTTAAATTTAAAAATGAGAAAGAAAATGGACGGGGTGACGGTCATAAAAACACTAAAATGGTGAAAAACTATTTTATTTCAAACCAACGTTTCGACCCGACTTTGCAGATCTTCTTCAGGGCTAAAACGAAAAGGATAAAAAAGGATATAAAGAAATGTAGAAGTTGCATAATATTTATATGAAAAATACAAACAACGTGAATGAACTTATTAAACACTGATTATAATTTTAATAAGTTTATTCACATTGTTTATAATTTGTATCTAAATATTATGCAACTTCCACATTTCTTTATACCCTTTTGAATCTTGTTCGTTCTAGTCCTGAAGAAGACCTGCAAAGTCGGGTCGAAACGTTAGCTTGTAATAAAATAGTTTTTTTTCCCACTATTTTAGTCTGTTTATGACCGCCACCCAGGACCATCTCCTTCTTCAAAAATAAACAACGGTCAACCATTAAGTATTCAATATTATAAATTTATTAATTATTTATTTTAATAAGTATTAAAAAGTTCAATAAAAGGCAATCTCGCTCTGCTTAAGCGAAAAACAGGTAACATTATGATGATGATGATAAGGTATTAACAAGTGTATTACATGTCTATAAGTTAAGTTTACCTCAGTTTAAATCTACATACTTTTTAAGGGTACGCCCCAGAATTGTTTCATGATCCAGGAATCATCCAAGGCTGACATAAAAATATAAATAAATTGCCACTGCCGGACTCAAACCTCGCTTCAATGTATAATTAATAAAAAAAAAAACCTGCACCACTACAACTAATGAAGGGTCTTGGGTTCAGTACTATTTAGGAAAAATAATATTTC